GCTGGGAGTTATGTTATTGTAGAAAATCTTTTTTAAACTTTATAGTCCATACTTATAAAACACTTAGAGCGTAATCAATTTCTTCTGCAAAATCCACTTCCTTCTCTCTCTTTCCAGTCCAGACTTCCAGCTCGGTCTTATTTACTCCCCCATTTGTTCTCGTTGCAAAGTACTATCAGTACTATTCAGCTGCCACTAAAATGTGTCTCATATTTTCCCTGTATGCTTAATGCTTGTTTTCCCTTCTCTTTTCCCTCATCTTGCTTTCATTTCTGTTCTCTTCTGTTCCGCACTGTATAATCTTCAAGGCAGAAATCCTGTCTTTTTAATTGCTTTCATTTGTACAGCACTAGATATAGTCATTGGACATTTCTCAGACAAAAAAGGGACATCTGACAGTCTGATTTTACTTGTGACAGTGTAAGTTTATGCAGAGTGTATAGGAGAATGAAATATGCAAATACAGTGCCTTGCAATTACATGGTTTGGCTATCTCAACTTTTATAATAGTTCTATTTTTGTAAAGTCTACCTATAAAAATAAAGCTTGTATTCTGTTTTCAGGTCCTTTGTACTATGTGGGTTCATTTTTGAAGTGGAAATTCCAAGACAGGAAAAAGAAATGTGAGCAGAAGATGTCAGAGGGAAAAAAATAGATAACATCATAGAAAGAGTGTTAAGTACTACTGGGCACCTGAAAAGCAAGGCACAGACAAGAAGAAAAAATGGTTAAATACATGAGGGAAAGATAAGTGATGGAGGATGACATAAAGTTAATTGATAATATTTGAACAAATCAGTTAATCTAGTGGCTAAAGAGAAACAATCAGTTGTTGCAGTGCCAGGAAGAATGATGATGTTACGCTGCATGAGAAACTTGTATCCTAGCAGTAGCACAAGTGGAGTATCCCCAGCTTCTGTTTGCCATTTTATACCATCCCCTAATTATTATACTCCTTTACTGGGTTATTGATACTCTTGTCCAATGAGCAGAGATAATACAAGAGGCAAAGAAAAGGTATGTAAGATAGTTATGGAAGAGAATGCACTGTGTTCCTCTCCTCCTAAAATAGAAAGCAAGATTGAAGTGATGAATGTGTTAAAAAAGGTCTATTTACAGGCATTTATGAAACAACAAGTGTATGGGCTTATCTTTGTGTGACTACTACTAAATTGAAGAACAAACCTTTTTATTTCTCTTCTTACTGTGTTTTAGGGGGACATTTGCAAATACACAGCAGTCCAGGTATAATGCAATGATCTTTTATTGTCAGCTAAAGCAACAGTAAGAAAACCCATTATTAAAAACAAAAGATTAAAAAAAAATTTCAAATACTGTTCCCATAGACATATTAATTATTAGTATTAAATATATTAATTATTAGTAAAAATACTGTTCCTCTAGGTATATTGAGAAAACTTTAGATAAATGTCAAATTAGTTCAAGGTGATAAGAGCATCAGGCTTGTCTTTCTTAAGATTCTTAAATCTTCTTGGATTGAGTTTTATTCTTTCTGTATAAAAATAAAGTCAAAACTTTCAGTGGATTCCTTTTTTTAAACTACAAAAGCAACATTTGCCAGAGTTCAAGCAATAATTGGAGAGTACAGACATCTGTGTTAACATTTTAACTGAAGCTCTTCAAATGATCTTTTCTGGTTGTAACTTTCTAAAATTCCAGGGAACACTAGACTTATTATGTCTGCATTTATAAAGTAACCTCAATTCGAAAGAAAAACAATTAATTATATATTTAAGAATTTATTATAAATACTCATAGGGCATTATCTTCTTCACCATGACTTCCCAAAGGAAGATGTAGGTTCACACTAATGTTTTGGAACAGGAAAGCTTTCTTACCCTCATATGACTTTGAAACTTGGAGATGCTGTGACCTCATATGGATTTTGTCAGACTAAATCCAGTCCTACATTTAACCAGAAAACTACCTCTTATTAGGAATTCACAATAAATATAATTATGTTGAAATTAGTTAGTGAGCAAAATTGAAAGGGAACAGAATATTCTAATTGATAACTTACTACTATATCATGGTCAATGCTGGACTTCATGTATATTCTGTAGATGTTCTTTCATAATTATATAAATCACTTCCAAGCATTGAATTTTCCTTCCGTTTCTTCCCTAGCAATATATGCAAACATGACAGGCTTTAAAAGCATGTGGACATAGAATTCAAGACAAGCTATTTCAAACACCTGCAACTTGCATTTACTAATGAGAGACAACAGCAACTGCAAATGCATTCAACATTATAGTCAGGTCGACTATACCTTGGCTGTACCTTGGTATTATATTCAGGTGAGCTTCAGATTCCTTCTCCCCAGGTCTTCTGCAGAAAAATAACCTTAAACATACACACAAAATAGTATATGTGCTGCTCTCCAAGAGTTAGTTGCATGATCTGAATGATTGGAGTATCTAGTCAGCCCACAGCTTATCTATACAGGTAGACACATGAAGTGCTAACCCCATACAGAAAGTCCTGATCACATTGTCAAGGACTAATTTTTCAGAAGCTGCTTGAGCTTCTGCATAAGTCTATCTCTACCCCAACTGACCTCTGCTTATATGTTTTTCTTGTAATGCAGTTCTCTCAAAACCATAGACAGAGGTGAAATGTCAGGAAAATTTTCAATTAATTTACTTCATGTAATCTCTCCAAATGATTTTAATTCTGTTATTGCTGGTAAGAGATATATTAAGCTGAATAGAGAGAGGGAAAACATTGAATAGTAGTTTAAAGTGACGTAATTTTATGTGCATGTTTAGAAATTGAACATCTCAGATAACTTACAGGTTTCACTTGTGTTTCGGACATAGAGAGGAAATGATTGCTCATTGTAGGTGCCTTCAATCCAAGTAATCCATGCAACTCATAATAGCAGCGAGGATGAAATGTATTTATTGTGCTGCTTTGTATTTTCTTGGATCTTTAGGGAGGAGAAAGGGCCTTTTGAGAATCTTGACTGAATTATTATATATGCTTTGTTTAAAGTCTCCTTAATTATTCTAAAAAAGTGAAATAATAAAAGAAATAAACATACCATTTAGTTTTTAATGCTATCACTTTTGTAGCTTATTTCTGCCTTTAAATAATAACTTATATGATGAATGAAAGTCTTCTCTGTTTGAAGATTTATTTTTGTAAATAAGGGATAATGTAAAGAAATTCTTTAATTGTTTTGAGTCTGAGTATGTGAAGGATCATCTATATAAATCAACTTCTTCATAGGACTTCAAAATAATGTTAATGCTAACACTACTCTTGAATCATGTTAGAATGCTCAAGTGGCTTATAGGTAAATTGTATTCGTGTAAATTTTTAAAATTAGTAAGAACAAGTAAAAATACCAGAGCAAAGAGAAAACTACATACACTGCAGTTATACACAAGTAAGGAAACAGGGTCAAGTGTTTTAGTAAACAGTGAAAACTGCTTAAAACTTTCTATTCATGCTAGGACTCTGTTGAAATCACAAAAATGCTTTTTCTTATAATGTGTTGCCTCCTTAATTTATGAATAAGTTACTGTCTACCACATTTCTCACAAAAAATAATACTTTTCAATAAAATCCTGTAGATTCAAGTTCCAGCTTTTTCTGTGACACTTTATTAGCAATTAAAGTCATACCAATATTTGCAAAATGACAATTGGTGTTTATAGAGCCTTACTGCACTTGCAGGAAGGATTTCTAGTTTTCCTCTGTATTTTAGAAAGACTGTGCAATTCACATACCTGAAGTGAGTGAGTTTAGTTATCATGTCATGCTGTGAATCTCATTTTTTTTCCCTGTTCCTAGCTGTTAAGTATGCTCTATGTTCAAGAAAAGAAAAGTATTGTTTGAACAGAAATGTGAAAGGGAAATATGTAGATAGAATGTAAAAGTCCTGATAAAAAATAATTCAGAGATTGGAAAAAGAACAATTGCAGATATTCTTTCTCTTTTTATGACACAATTATTTCCCAGAATGTACTTCCTAGTTATTTATACCGGATGAATGGTAGTAATAGGACTAAAAGGCTACATGTATTATTATCAGATGACATATATATCATGAGTGCACCTGAGATCTGCCAGGGTACAGGTTTTGGAAAGATGTTTCTGACAGAAAGGCCTCTACAGCATCATCCATGACCTTGGGTACATTTGAAGGCCATTTTCTGCCTGTACAGGGAAGTCAGTGTTGATTAGGGACTTTTCATTTTGCTGTACAGGGTGCTTCATTCATAGTCTGTGGTAGTTCAGGAGTCTCTCTGGTATTAGATAACCATCTTGTGCAGATGTGTAGAGCATGTATGAATCTGTTTCAGACTTGTCCAGGGCAACCGTGAGTATAACTGTGGTAGAACAGAGAGGGAAATAAATTCTGTTTAGTATAGGGTTGAGGTAGGTTCGATCTGCCTTGATGCTGGGTGTAAGAGGTGTTAAAAGTGTCAATGTTTGATTCCTAATCTGCTCTTGGGAGAGTGGCTACACGCTCCCTTTTGCTCAAGGTTTTTAATTTCTATTAGGCTGGCTCCTTGTCCTTAGATTCTTCTGTATTTTGCCGATATGGCTCAAAATAAACATTTCAGAACAGAGAATGATTTACAAGTTTACCTGACAAATGTTACATTTTTATTTTCCTTATAAATTTATACACATGGAAAAGTCTTCTGCCCTGCTCAGCGGGCTCAAAGCTGTATTCTTAAGACAGCAGAAGCACTGAGAGTTTTATAGCAATCATTTACATAATACAGAACAGGGATGCGATAATAATCTTCAGGCTCTCCTGTGCCCCAAATGCTGTCTGCAAGTGAAAAGCTGTTAGTTGTCCTGGTTTAGGTTGGGATAGAGTTAATTTTCTTCCTGGTAGCTGGTACAGTGCTGTGGTTATGTTTTAGTGTGAGAATAATGCTGATAACACACAGATGTTTGAGTTGTTGTTCAGTGCTTATCCTAATTAAGGTTTTTTTCATTTTCCCATGCTCTGCCAGCAAGCAGGTGCACAAGAAGCTGGGAAGGAGCATGTCAAGGTCATCTGATCTGAACTAACCAAAAGATATTCCATACCAGAGTATATCATGCCTAGTATATAAACTGGGGAGAGTTGGATGGGAGGGAAGGATTGCTGCTTGGGCATTGGTCAGTGGGTGGTGAGCTATTACATTGTGCATCACTTGTCTCTTCTTGAGTTTTATTTCTCTCTCTGTTATATTCCTTTTCATTATAATTATAATATTTTATTGTTATTATATTTTATTTTATTTTAGTTGTTAAGCTGTTCTTATATCATCCCATGAGTTTTACTTTTTTTGGTTCTCTTCTCTGTCCCACTGGGAGAAAGAAGGAGGAATGAACAGCTACATGGTGCTTAGTTACAGGCTGAGGTTAAGCCATGACAGTTGTGCAAAGCCTTTAAGAATAAGAAGTAGCAAAAAGCAATATGTCTTCCATCAAAGCACCAGCAAAATGTCAGCATGGTTCAAGAATGAGATGGTCATTAATTTCCCTGGTAAAAAATTATCCCCATTCAACCTTCTCTGGAGTTGTAACTCCTTGTGAGAGTTAGAATCCCAAAAGAAATTAAAGCTTCCTTACTTCAGTGGCTAAAAAACTCTAAATATTTTAAGATAATCCATGTGCATAAGATGCATAATTTCTCTGGCAAAAGAGGGAAGAATACATCAGAAGACAGTTCAAAAACACAGTAATTATAAGTATTACCTGAAAAAATTATACCAAGGTAGCATTAAGAAAAAACAAAACCATTCACAGCAATAACTAACGATCCACTAATTTATTGAGAAAGAATATTATTTCCTCCAAGAGACATAATTTACATTTAGTATGATATGATTGCTTCTGAACATTGTAAAGTTCAAGAAAGGTTTCAACATGTTAAATGTTGAAAAGCGTTGTAAGATAACTAATGGTCATGCCTGAGCTACCATGTGTGATGTTGTAGATGCTCTTGTACACATTTTGTTGCTGAGGTTCTGTCATGTTGTATGTGCTGAGTTTTGAATGAGAAATTTTGAGTAACCTGTGGTTCCATAGTGGGTTCTTTCTGACAGGCACAGTTGGCCCAGTGGTCTTTGGATCAGGTTTTTGTTGTAAGTGAATGCTTATAACCTGATGTCATTGTACTTTAAAAGCTTTAAAAAGTCATGAGAAGTCAAAAGAACATGTGGCACCCCACTGCACTTTTGGATGCCTCCATGTGCTGCCTTTGTGTCACAGTATCATACCCTGTTAAATGTCTGTAACTGAGTAAGTCTGATGCAATGCCTAACAGTTGTCCAAATGATAGGCCACTAAAATTGCAAACATTTCACTTCTATTTAGGAAGCATTCATGCTAACTGGAGGAAGGAGATACCACAGTCCTAGCTCATCATTACTATTCACAAAAGTTAAATCTGTTCATTCTAATGTGAATTTCATTGTAAGTTCTTTTCTTTCTGACCTAGTAGTAAATACAAGTGTTGCATATTTTTAAAGGTAGGATCCCTTTTTCATTTTGTTCTGCACAGTCTAGGAAATCCTTTTATTAGTATACCCAAGTGATTCAATTTTTCCTCCCCAGTGGTTTCCATCAGAGAAAAGGCAACTTCCAGGTTACCTTTTTTATTAATCATAGTAAGAATGTGAATATGTAATTAAGTGTAATTTCAAAATAATTATTTTCAGTGTTTTCCTGAGTATAGCTTTATTGTTTCTTAATCTTGTAAAATCTGGTAGGCATCCAGATATTCTGAATGTGTCTATTTGATAAATGCAGTGGGCTTTTAGACTCAGTTGTTTGCTTACTGTGCTTTCAAACATTTTGAGTATCTGTTTAGTATGCAGTGAACTAGTATAAGAAAAAACATCTGTACTGCAGCTGCAATGACACTAACCTTTACGTTTGCTCTTCAGTAGGAAATCGAATCTATCTGTGCATTTATCTTTTTTCTTTTTTTTTTTTTTTTTTTTTTTTTTGGTTTAGTGTTTGAGGAGTTCTAAGAAAAGCAGAAATTACAAAATTTGCACTTCAAGTGAAACAGCTCAAGAATGTAAGTGTGTGCTGTGCTGGTTTTATTCTTCTCTTAATCTTCTGCTTTCTTGAGTGCATCTCTGCTAATAACTGAAAGATCTGTTACAAGTTACAAAAGTACTGAAGAGTGTTTATCAGCCCCAAATATTTTAAATGTATTTCACTTTATGCTATGTTAATGTTAATCGAGTTTTATCAGCAAGATTTATCAGAAAAAGTTTGAGCTGTTGTGAGAAAGTACTTTTTTTTTTTTTCCCCATGAGTATTAATCCATGGGAGAAGTGTTGAATTTATCTCAGGTGTTTCCACTGTCTTTAGTGAGGGTTCTCAAAGTAGAAAATATCTTCGGTAATGAGCTGTTAATTAAGAATTGCCAATTCAGAGAGGGTCTTCATCACATTAAGTGAACAAAATAGACAGAACATGATCTTCTTGATTCTGTTTTAAGTATTTATTTATATGCACTATATAAATTATTATGAAGTTTTTACCACAAGGCTTCAATTTCTCTTTTATGCTCAGATAGGAGAAGCATCCTAGTTTATCAAAATATTTTCTAAGGAGTATCTAGAGCAATGTAATAGCAAAAATTTATCATGTAAAAATTTTTCCTGTTACAAGTTTCATCATATTCACTGGAGTTAGGCCAGGAACACATGTAGTCTCTTAAGCTTAAAGTTCTTAAACTAAGTTTGCCCATAATGCTTCAGGAGAAAATGCAGTGATTTTTAAAATTGATATAAGAAAATCAAAGCACATTGGAGCTGACATTGTAATGTTTTGAAATTTATGTTTCCAAACTTCTTTTTACTTGAATGAGGTTTCTTATAAAATCTTTTTCGTCTTCCCTTGGTCTTTGAAGACATTGATTAGCAGACACGGACTGAAGTATAATTATTATCTGTAAAGTTTGGGGTTATTTTTCCTTAGCACAAAGTACATCTTTTTTATGTATTTAAAGTCTGAGGACAAAACCTGAATGTTAATATCTGCATGCACAAGCTGTGATTGATATCGTTTGATGAAGCTGTTTTTAGTGTCAGTGACTGCTGGATTCACAGTGTTCTTCATCTGTCTGTGAAAAAATCCTGAGACATCCGTTTACCACATAAGAGCTATCCAGAGCTCGACTAGAAGTGCAAAGGCAGAGGAGGTTTTTCAGTAAAACAAAATATTTTAAAAGGTTGATTTTTCTTAATTCTGTCTTGATAAAAGGCTATAAATATTCTACCAAAAAGCAACCATACCCATTTTAATTCAGAAGGTCCCCAGTAAAAATCAGGAACTTCAAAAGGAACCTTAGAGGAAGTTTCTTAGTCCTCTCAATTTAGAATGGTTTTGAATGCCAGGAGTCCAAAAGAGTATGAAGATGCTATTTGGTGCAGATGTAACTGTATCAATGCTACCTTGTATTGTGGCAAAGGAGACATTTTCAAAGAGGAGGTCTGATGATGAAACCAATGTATAAGCCTTCCTTAATAGGCAGAGTATTTTAAGAAAGCTGAGGTTGCGGATACCTCAGTACATTATAAGCATGCACAGAAGTGGAATTGAGTACATCGCATATTGCATTTTGTTAGGTGTTTTCCTGTATAATACCCATCATATCCGTATTTTCAATTTCTTATTCTCCGTGCATCTCACTGAGTGAACAGTAAATAAAATCTCAGTTGGAGTTTCTGCACTGATCTCTCTTGGGTCTGTATTTTGATATGAGTACTTCATCCATCTGCTTGCTCTCAAATTCCCTCTTGGGCTTAGAACACAGGTGCTATTGTAAGAGAATTTGTTGAATATTTGATAGAGTTTGCCTTATGTTTGCAAGTAATGAAAGGTCACCACCCTTGTATATTGGGATTTCAGCTATCCTGTGCTGACTCCGTTGAACTATTCTTATAAGGATATCAAACAAACAGGTGAGCATAACCTTTAAGGTAAAAGCCAGTAGTTTTGAAAGACATTTACTGCAGTATAACTTTACTAATATAAAAACATATGCATTTGTTGATTTTGAGAGGAACAATATCTGTACTGGAGTAACTGGTTTCTTGAAGACTGAAAGCATTCCCAGTGTGAACATGATCTTCAAGGTGTCTGAACAGGCTTTATGTCACAAAACCTTTCAGAGTATCAATACACCTTATTTGCTTTCTCTCCCCAGGAAGAGATTGCTATGTGTATTCAATATTGCAACTAGTCAGCACTTTTGAGACAGACTGAGTAATATAGAGCAAGATTCCCTTTCCATCAGCCCCTTTATGTGAATTGCCCAGTTTCACCTGCATTTATGAAAATCCTTTGAATACACATCATTGCAGTACAGCATACTGGAGAGCCAGACAAATGGAAGACTCTGCTGAATATCATACTAGTTGAATGAGCATAGTATTACTCGAAATTTAACTGAAATAGAACAATTTATACTGCCTAAGAATAGCACAAGGAGGGTTGTTTGCATTTTAGAAAACAAATATTACATATGGAATAGGTGCTTCTGTTAAAATAATCAGTGGGAATATAGTTAAATATCTAGTAACTGTGCTTCTTTTGAATGTTTTAAAGTCTGTCATCTGATTCTTCCAGGATTTAATGCAGTATAATTTTATGGTCAGATCCAGCAACTTTTCTTGAAAAGTAAAAAGTTCAGAAGAAGTCTTATTAAAATTATTTTGTTTTCAAGAAAACTAAAGTTTTAAGTCTGAGCGCTGGTATTAAGATCTAAAACTGGATCAATTTATCAACATAGTAATGGAAACATTAGGTTTCTTACTTGTGTATGTGGCAGTGTAATCTTGATTGCACTGCACACACTGAGAATGTTCATTCAAGCTTAGTCTTAATGCATCAAAGAAAAAAAAATCACAATTTGTTTTCTGTATGTCAGCCACAATCAAATGTTCCAGCTCCTTGAAATGAATGCTTTTAGTTAAAAGTCCCCTTTCAGAATGGATCTTACTGCTGTGTTCTGCATGTTTTAAGTTCTGTTCATCTAGCAATG